TCGTATATGCACAATTTCAGGGGCAACTACTAATCTGTTCAAGCTCATTCTTACCCTATAGGGAGGTGGGTCATTTTGGGCCCATAGTTTGTGAAGAAGCAGGAAATTTGGGGGTTTTTTCTTCCAGTTTTATTGAGATATAATGGACATACATCACTATGAGTTTAAAGTATACAGCATAATGATTTGACTTACAAACATCATGAGATGATTACTACCATAAGCTCAGTGACTATCCATTATCTCATAAAGGTACAAAATTAAAGAGATAGAAAAAAATTATTTTTTCCTTGTAGTGAGAACTCTTAGGATTTATTCTCTTAACTTTCATAGATAGCGTACAATAGTGTTAATTATATGTATCATGTTGTACATTACATCCCTAGTACTTACTTATCTTATAACTGAAAGTTTATACCTTTTGACTGCCTTCATCCAGTTTTCCCTCCTTCCACGCCCCACTTCTGGTAACCACAAATCTGATCTCTTTTTCTGTGAGTATATGTTAACTTGTTTATTTTTGAAGTGTAATGACCTACAACCCTGTGTTAGTTCTTGTTACTCAATATAGTGATTTGATATTTTTATACATTTCAAAATGATCACCATGATAAGTCTAGTTATGATGTCACCATACAAAGATACTATATAATTATTGACTCTATTCCCCACACTATACATTTCATACCCCTGACTCATTAATTTTGCAACTGGAAGTTTGTCGGTCTTAATTTCTCTCACGTATTTCTCTTCCCCCTGCCCGTGACAACCATCTGTTCTGTCTGTGACTCTGTTTCTGTTTCGTTTATTCATTTTTTTTGTTTTTTAGATTCTACATATAAGTGAAATCATCCGTTATTTGTCTTTCTCTGTCTGACTTATTTACTTAGCTTAAGTGAAGGATCACTTTCCTGCCTCTTAACAGGAAGTAAAATTTTAATTTACTTTTAAAATTAAAAAACAAGAAACATGGCTTAAAATTTGTCCCACTAGGTGGCAGCATACTATCACAAGTTGAAGCTCATCTGGGCGATGCCATCTCTGTGTCCCTAATTAATAAACGTTAATTTAGTGTTTGCTCCTGAAGAGTGCGATGCTGACACCATCTGTCCTTTTCTCCCCAGGAAAGCTGGTGTACGAGCGCATCTTTTCCATGTGTGTGGATAACCGCAGCATCTTGCCAGGTAATGTCATAAGCTGTTCCATGGGTTTCATTCCGCCCTCGAGTCAGGATTAAAAAGTTTCTATCATATCAGGATTTATTGAAACCTAGTTTTTTAAATTTTTGGTATGTTAAAAGAAACACCGTTACAGATTTCTGATCATCTCAGTCTTCTGAAAACTTTCGATCTTTTGACAACCCGGCTAGGAATTTCGGCAGGTAATTTGAATCTGCAGGAATGAAAAGGTATTACAGTTAGATTCAGCTGAACTTTTATACCAACTTAAATTCTTCTGCTGCTTGACACTTTAATATTTTTCCTAAGAAGCAAATTTCTTTTAGAAAAATAATTCTATGTGTATACAAAAGAACGATGTCAAATAAATCAATAATAACAGCTGCTTTGAATCTACAATCTACTCCCAAGTGATGTTTGCGTTAAATTTACTGTCACTCAATTTTAAACTCTCAGGAGGTTATAATAGGACACCTAGATCGCAGATTTCTTCCGTCAGTGTAAATAATGATGCTGCGGCTGGAAGCATGAAGCTCTCGGCAGCGGTGTCCTTTTCCTTTCATTCCTCCTTGCAAGTTCCTAGCACTGCTGAGAGGAAACGAGCTCATCTGCACAAGTTAGCACAACAGGCGCCTCTACTGTCAGCCCACCTCCTTCTGCTTCTAGTAACCGCACCTCCGGAGGATGAAGAGATGCTATCAGTGACAGTAACCCATAATTTGACCTCTTTTCTCTCTGTCTGCGTACGTGCGTTTATCTGTCTCCTGTCTTTTTCTTTTTTTGTCTTTCTGTCTTTCTTTTCTGTCACTTTCTTTCCTTTTCTTTCTGTTTCTTTCCTTTCTCTTTCCTTTTCCTTCCATCCTTCTGTCTGTTTGCATTGTTAAAATTATTTAATTTACACAGTTCTCAGAAAGAAAGACGGATAGACAAAACTCTACAGACCTTTAGGGCTAGAAAAGCTGTTAGGAAGCATCTCGCCTTATTGTAGATGGGCAAACCCAGTGGGGAAGGGTCAGGGACTTGCCCCCAGCCCTGCCACCAGCTAGTGAGAGGCTGACTCTTAGCCCTGGACCTGCACTGTCCAGTATGGTGACCACTGGTCTCGTGGGGCCCGTGAGCACTAGAGATCTGACCAGCCCAAACTGAGATGTGCTATGAGTATAAAAAAACAAAACACAACAAAACTGAATTTTAGAGACTTAATACAGATAAAAGACCATAAATTATCTCACTAATTTTTAAACTGATTACACGCTGAAATGATTTTTTGGGATGAATGGGGTTTTACCTTTTTGAATGTGGCTCACATGACGTTTCCACTGGGCAGAGCTGCTCTGGGCCCTCCCCTCCACCACATCACACCGGTGATGTTTCGTAACAGCTCCTTCCATATTGTAGGCTTCTCAGGACCGGGAGGCAGGGGCCAGCCTGCGTGGAAAGGCCTTCTCTGTCAGTGGAAGGAGTGGGGAAAAATGGGTGCATTTATTTCACACTTGCCAACTTTTCTTCCCGGTGCTATGCCAGCAGCAGTAAACTCAGCCCGCAGGAATTAAACCCAGATAGGTGTTTTCTTTGGCTTATAACAGAATTAAAAAAAATTTTTTTGATATAGGTTCTACTTCTTCCTGTTGTATGTGTAATTGTTGAAAAATATTTATATTACCTGTCTGACTCCCAGAGACATTTGATTTTGAACCTACTGCAATGGTGATCCTTCCTCCCAATTTTCTCTAACTATACAAACAACATTTTAGGGCTAGTTAAGGAAAAAGTACTAATAACTTTCTCCTACATAGGCTATAAAAGTTCAAAATAAAAGGCTATTTTCATAGTCACTTCCAGTTCTTGTCTACATAAATTAATTAGCACACTTATCACTAATTCTTCCCTCCCCAGATACCTATTTTTATGTTGATCAATGCAAAACCAGCTTTTGTTTTTTAAAAAATAATTTCATTTTCCCATCTTTCGGTTCAAACCTTCCTCTGCATATGTTTTCTCTGTTTCCAAGAACCTGACAGAGAAAGGGGCAAACTCTTCTCAAAAATGCCAGTGGTCTTGGGGATGACTCTTAACAATAATTTTGAAGAAAGCTTTTGAAACCTAATGTGCAGAATTCTGCCTAAAGAAATTATGTACAGAGAGAACTCCCGTGGCATGTGTACTCATTCTTTCCATTTGAATCAAGTTCAGACTGTGAACTTAGTATTTGAGCCCTTTACCTGCAGGAGTTTTAACTATGGCAGAGCCCTAATGAGCTCAGAAGGATACTGGTGTCCTTTGGGTTCATGGAAAGTACATGGCTGCTAGATGTGGTAATTTTTTCCCAACATTTCTTAATCCAGCATTATAAGTGAAGACACCATGTACTTGAAGTGATAAAACAATTTTATTTCCATCTTGGGGGAAATAATTTGGGTTTATTTTGTTGTGGTTCTCATCATCAACTGTGGGCATTCCTGTCTTCAGTTTTTCCCCGTGGCCGACGTAGGCTGCATCTGGATGAGCAGTGTCCTCAACTGACCAGGCCTTTCAAGCACATATTAAGATGCCATGACATCCCTATGAGCACTGTTACGTAAAGAGACCTCTCACTGCCAGGGCTGAGACTTGGCAAATGAAAGGGAGCTAGACTCGCTGGTCTCCTCCCTCCTCCTAAAATATCCACCGAAGTTCAGGGTTGAAAGCAGCAGCACCATAAAAGAAAAATAAGTGGGAACTAGAGGAAAATATCTCTGCTCTTTGTGACGTCGACATCTCTTCTGAATTAATCTCCGAATTGTGACTTCATTCTCCATGTAGCAGCCCAAGCACTAAAGTATATCCTGTCCCGTCCTGTCGTTCCTCTACCCTTGAGGAAGTTTCCATCGCACTTAGTGAAACTCTCAGACTCCTTGGCAAGGCCATAACCGCATGTGACCTGGCTTGTGATGCCTGCTTCTCCCCTTCCTGCTCTCGCCACGTTGGCTCACTTTCCTGTTCTTTGACCACACCAGAGGTCATGCGTACCTCAGGACCTTTGCACTTGCTGTTTCCTCCTCCTGGAATACATTTCCTTCACCTCTAAGCTTGGCTGGCTCCTTTTTATAATTCAGGGCGCAGCTCAAATGCTGAGTATGCAGGAGCCTTCTCTGACCGTCACCCTGTCTAATGAAACTGCCTCCCCTGCCCATTACCCAGGTCACTTTGTATTCCGTACTTAGTTGCATATCTTTCATAATGTTAACTGCAATTGAATATTACCGTATTTGTTTGCCTGCTTATTCTTTTTCTGTGTTTATTATGTTTCTTCCCCTACTGGAATGTAAACTTCATGAGGGCAGGATCTCTCTTATGTACTGTTTATCTCCCCAGAGCTGAAGATACTACCTTTGGTTCCTAAAATGTCCATGTTGAGCAAGTGAAGTAAAGGGATGTAATATTTAGTTTGCTGTAACATTTTTTTCTTCCGGTTTTATTTATTTACTTTTTCTGTAATATTTTGAAGTCCTGCATAACATAATCCTACTCTGAAATTATCCCTTGAGCAAGAAGGAAAGCCTAAATGCCTTTGGATTGTACGTGCAGATTATTGTAGGCCTTGTAGTTAGTGTGTAACCCGCAGGGCAACTTGCCTTTAGTGTGATGTCCAGCACTCTCTGGCAGCTTGAATCACTGTCCACCCTTTACTGCACCTCCATTCCCTCAACTGGAAAGTGAGTGTTTTTATTAGATGACCTCAGAGACTTATTTTTGCTTTTGGGTCTCAAGTCATATGATTCAGTCATATGAAGGGAAATTAACCCCACCTCTCCCTTTTCCAAAAGGCAAGATTGACAAATGAATTTGAGAATAACCCTTATCTCTTCCTGTCTGGATCTCTTGGAACTTGAAAAAGTTACTTTTAAGTGCACGGGGTTCAGGCCAGGAAAGGGAAAATGGTAATTTCCCTTCCCTTTGAAAATGGCAAGCGAATAATTCTCCAATGAATGAAGCATGCCAGAACATCCAAAAATAGATAAATACTTGAGATTGCAGTTCCAAAATATCTGCAGTTGTGATTAGTGACTGTTCCGTGCTCTTGAAATACCTAGAGTTTTATCATTTCGCTGATTCCATAGGAATTTTGATCACCTTAATTGTGTACCACCGAGGAGCAGAAAGAAGAATCAGGGATGAAAAATGACTCACTAACGACAAGATGAGACCAACAAACTAATATTCATTTGCTGTGTTCTAAAGGAATTTAGATTGAATCCTAACCGTGTAGAGCACAGCCCGTGCTGGGATCAGGCTCCAGCCTGTGGAGATTATTTAGAAGAAATCACTTTCAAGTGAGAATTCAACAGTGGCCTTCTTGCTATTGAGTTTTTTGTTTGTTTGCTTTTGTTTTCGTATTTCCTTATGCTTTTCCATTTCTCATTAAGATGTGTGTCATGGTTGGGCTTGGGTGTCACTGCCAGAAAACTCAAAAAGTTACAGTACAGAAGGTCAGGGCTAGCGGGGCAGCCAGCCCATGGTGCCAGCAGTCCTGACTTTTGTCTTGTTCTCGTGGTTCAAGATGGTTGTGGAGGTTCCAGCCATTGTATCTGCATTCCAGCCAGCAGGAAGGAAGGAGTGAAGATGAAGTTCCTTCCCTTCCAGTTAATCTCCTAAACATTGTCCCACTGTTTATATCCTGGGATGAGAACTTGGTCGCATGGCCACCCTGAGCCGCAAGGATGGCCATATGCCCAGCAGAAAATGAGAGTTCTGTTATTAAAGAGGAAGAGAACAGATAATGGGGGCAAGTGGCAGTTTTGCCACAAGGTGACTCAAGTCTTAGCGCCATAATTGAGCTGGCAGCCTAAACCTGGCTGGTTTCTCACCTCAGGGTCTTGATTCACCTTCAGGTCTCGTCTGTGTGGTATTTAGAGCACAAACTTGGGTCACATTTCTTGTTACAGCTGCAGGTTCCTCAAGCATCTGGAATGCTTAACAATACCATCATGGTTACTGGTAGGTAGGCCAGGAACCTCTGGATTAAATCAGAGGCAGTGGCTAAGAACGTAGGCTGCGGAGCCAGATTGCCTGAGTTAAATTCCAGGCCTTGCATCTGCTTACTGTGTGCCCTGGGCAAGTCACTAAACTTCTCTGTGCCTCGGTCTCTGTGTCTATAAAAGAGGACAATAAAAGTACGAGGCTCAGAGGGCTCTTGTGGGGATTAGGTGAGCTGACATCTGTAAAGCACTCTGAGCAGCACCTGGCACTTAAGAAGCCCCTGTGTGTATGCTGTTACCATCACCAGTTGGTTCCTAATAATAATGATATTTGGAAGGAAAGACATAGAAGGACTTGGTGCCCCTGCTCCTTCTTCTGCTCCATTGTAACATTTTCCTATCCCAGGACTCAAAGCGGCTGTAACAGATCCCAAGAATTAGGAAGGCTGATGGGTATTATTTTTGTATTACAGATCACTTCTCTCCAGAGAATGTAAATGACACAGCCAAAGAAACATGCTTAAATTGGTTTTTCAAGATTGCTTCCATCAGGGAACTCATTCCGAGATTGTATCCTTTTTTTTTAATCTGATGATTTTAAAGATAGGCTGCAATAGATGCGCTGTTAACAGAAGCCATGTGAGGGGATGCCCTGAAATTCCTGTTGAAAATTCGGTCCCTTTACGGTTGCTCGCCTGGAAATACAGGGCCAGCCACGTTGTCCAAGAAGCCCTTGTACTTTGGCTCTCCCCAGTTTTCTGGGTTTTTTTTTTACTTTGAATATGATGCCATGTACCAGGCTTTTGTTTCCCTGAGGAACATTCCCACATTAATTCTCTCAGTTAAAATGCTTCATCTTTATGTGTTTTCTCTGGTTCCAAGAACTTGAAAGGAACAGGGTCAAGCTTCTCTGCACAAACGCCAGTGTTGAAGAACAGAGAATTTGACTTAAACACAAATGGAATCTTAGTTCTCTGAAGTTTCATCCTTTCCCCGTAAAGCCTCCATTGGAAATGTTCAAAACCCAGCTTAAATGTCCCCGTGCAATCATGAATTGGCGTATAACATTTTCCAAATTTGATCTTAAATAAGTATAAAACCTTGAAGACCAAATATAGAAACCGCCAGCCACTAGCTAATTTAATTCTCTGGATTGTTGAGAGCTGTCGTGGCCCCCTCTCCTGGAGACACACCTCCTCCTCTTCGTGAATAGTTTCGTCTTTTCCCTACAGGGAACGGGCCGTCTGGAAAATGCCTTCCTTAACAGAATGTTTTTGTAGTTATGTGGAAGCCTCCATCCTGAAGTGTAACAAGTTCCTCTCCAAAACGTAAGGGTCCTCTTAAATGTCTAGAACGGTAACATTTCCCAAAAAACCTCTGTCTCACACACCCTGATGGCAAAAGCTATCATTTTTTGAGGAGTTGGCGAGTAGCGGATCTGGTGCTAAGCACCTGCCATCCGTTTTCTTGTTTAATCCAAATAGCTTAGAGAGAGCTTTTTTTGTTTGTTTTTTTGTTTGTTTCTTTCTTTGGGGGGGGTTGTTTGTTTGTTTTTTAATTAATTTTTAAAAGGAGTACTGGGGATTGAACCCAGGACCTTGTGCATGCTAGGCATGCGCTCTACCTCTGAGCTATGCCCTCCCCAACCTTGAGATAGTGTTTTAATCTTCATTTTGTGGAAAAAACTCCAGCTGGAGAGGTTGGCTGAGTAGCTCACGGAAGATCAGGTCAACTGGATTTGAGTCCCAGCTCTGCCGTCACTAGCCGTGTGGTCTTGAGAATGTTACTTATCATCTCTGACCCTCGGTCTCTTCTGTGAACAAGGCGCTAAGAAGGGGCCTGTGAGGGTAGCTTGAGCTGCACACAGCACACTGAGAGAAGCCCCTGTGGGCCCTCGCTCAGTGTTTGCTGCTGCTGTCCGAGACGATGGAGAGGACAAAGATGTCAGGAGCAAAAGCCTTTGCCCCTAAGCCTTCTGCTACTCGGGGTCACCTCGGACATTGTTTTGAGGGTCGTTTGCAGAGCCTGGAGAAACCAGACCTGCTCTCTGAAGAGCGGGTGAGATACTGAACGCTGCTGGATAACATCTGGAAAATAAACCCCTCAAAGCCACGGGCTGACTCACACTGCTCCAAGGAGTAGTTTGATTTGGTTTAGAATGTGTACCAAATGTGTTTGATTGGGGTGGCTTGGCGGGGAGTAACATGGTGCCAAAGAGACAGTTATTTTGCCTCGTCAGTTGGGAGAGGATAATGCCTGAGGCAGTCAGAAGTCCCATGTGGCAGGAGAAATAAATGAAACACAGTTTGCATTGATGGCGGATGCAGGTGTCTGGTGCTAGGAAGGGGCGGGGCCCAGGGCAGTAAACCAGCGCCAGGGGATTAAGGCGAAAATATTAAAGGGGTCAAACCTGTTCAGTTTCAAAAGTACAGGAGCTAGTGACTTGTTGATGGAAAATAATTGGGAGACAGAAATTGTTAAATTAGTTAAATAAATGTGACCCGAAGCAGGAAAACTGAAGGTTAGACGTCAGCACTGAGCAAATGGTAAAGATGAAAGAAACTGTTCAAAGAATGAATCATTTCAAGAGAGAAAGACTTGTTACGTGGCCTTAGAAAACTCAAACTTTGACCTTGGTTTGTTCCTGAAACTTGGTTCCCCCCCTACATTTAGGAAGTTTAGCTTTATCTTTAAAGATAAAAGAACAGGGGGCTCTCCCATGGGGTGTAACGCTGCTCTTTGTCTCTGACAGGGGGATTTCAGAGTGTCTGCCCCGGCTCACATGCATGGTTCGGGGCATCGGGGACCCGCTGGTGTCGGTGTACGCCAGGGCCTACCTGTGCCGGGTAAGCCGTGTCCCTGCACTCACACGTGTGACTGTCCCGTCTCCTTAAATGTTCACGCGGGCTTCTCCTTCCCCGCCACCTCACAAGTCGCTGGAAGAAGGGCTTTATTAGCTGCTAATTTTAGAGCACAGCTTGTCCACAGAAAGCAGAGCTGTAGGATTTCTTTTAAAAATTAATTTCAAAGTAGACCCACTTACTGGAAACTCTAATTAGGGGGAGTTTAAGGTCGTCTTCTTACAAGTGAACTGGTTTTCAGAATTAATTGTTTCTCCATTCTTGCTGGGAAGGAGGCTCCCGAGGCCTTTTGGCTGGTAGGCTGCTTTCTGTTGATGTGAACTCTGCTTTCCCTTTGTCTTTGAACTTGATTGTTGTACTTGTCTTTTTGGTCTCTGTATTAAAGAGTTGGCTCGGAGTGTGAGTTGGTGAGAGCTGTCTGGCTGGGACAGGCGCTCCTGGCGCCGGCGGGCATCAGGGTCTGCGTTGCCTGGCTTCGGAGGGCTGCTGTCTGGTGGGTGAGGCAGTCCCGACTGTAAATCTCTCAGCCTTCCTCTCCTTTAAATATCATGAAGCTCCTGCTTATAACAAGCGAGATTTTCAGTTATGAAAAATGCAGCCCGTGGAGAGTTCACGGCCATTTTTCTGCAGCTCACAAGGGGCCCTTGCCTCTGTGGGCTTTCAGTGGGAGTACCCTCGCTAGTTGCATCAGCACCATTCACCTTTAGAGAGGGGCTGTTGCCCCTATTCTGTAGGGTCTGAGTGAACCCCAGACTTCCTTGAGGACAAAGCTACAGTTAGAGACCTACCTCCCTGGCCCCTGCTAGTGAAATCAGAAGGCGAGGGCTGTAGCCTGTGATCGGCTTCTTTCACATGACTTCTAGCAAGTAACAGAGCCCTGTGGTCTCCAGTGTCATGAAACGGTCATTGCCTTCAGAGTGAGTAGCAGACATCCTTAGGAAGGACACTTTTTATAGCTCTGCTTCCTGATACAGGGAGTCAGGAAAGCAAGCAAGCAAGCAAG